TATCTATCTATCTACGTTTCCATAGTGTTATTTAAACCTATGGAAAGTCAAGCCCTGGTTCATCTACATTACTGTACATTAATTATAGACCTGGTGTGTTAATCGGAAGTCAAAAAGGCAAAATAAAGCTATTATGCACAGATATTCTAACAATAACAGCTTGTATCTAAACTTACCCAGTTCCAATACAAGTAGCAGAAAATATACATTTGCATTTAAAATATGACTACATAATCTGTCCTCCCATTTACTGCACACCTAAGGGTGTGCAGTAAATCTTTTGACTTGTTTCTAAGAACACAGCTTACATTTCAGGTAATTTGGTTGAAGATGCACAAGAAGTGGTTTGTGGGCAGCATGGGATAGAATTAGAAAACTTCAAAATCAAAGTCAGGATGTTGCTTAAATTCACTTGGAATTTCCTCAGTGATGTTTTTTTGAAACCTTTGCATTGTATTCTGAGGAAAACCATGTTTGTACCAAGCTGTTCTTCCACAGTCATTTTTTTTTTTTGGTGAAAAACAAATACACACACTGGTTTGCAGTTTCCAGAATTAGTTATGAACTATAAGTAACAATGATCAGATGTATTTTTACAAAGAGTATAACATACAGAAAGCTGTTTTATAATTTATTTTTATTATAAACTTGTTAAACATCGTATTAAAGTTTAATACATCTTTGCGTTGTATTATTCAATGATTTCAAATATGTTTCTTTTCTCATAAATATGTTTTATATTATGTACATGCCTAAATATGTACATGTATAAAGTGGAAGCTGTGTAGGCATAAAAAACAAAAACAAACACAGAGCATTTCTTTTATATAAAACACACGCATTTACTTTGAACTCAATAAAATATATTTTTTCAAAAAGCTTAAAGGAAAAAAAAGATGTTTAATGTTATTTAGATCCCCCTGATTAAATATTCTGCTATGTGATTTTTGGTGCGTCACACGCTCCGCTCACTTTCACGACGTCATTTCTGGGAAACTCAAATAGCAACAGCAGCTCAGTAAGTTTCTATTTTGCCCCCCTCGACCCTAGTTGATTGACATGAAAATCCCACCAATTAAATACGCTGTTCTTTTAACAATTCAACCAATCAGCTCTCGTTCCTGAGTTGACAAGAGACTGTGTGACGTGTAAAGACATTTCGGTTCAAAGACTGCGACGATCCTCTGTGGCGCGTGAGCCAAAATGGCGCCTTAGCTCATCCCTCAGCAACACCTTGGGAGGGGAAGATGATACCCAATCAAAGACAGAGCGAGAAGACAAGAAAGAGGAAATAACATTTACGCACCGTCTCTGTCTGGGTAGTTGTTTTAGTAACAAAACAGCAGCCTTAGCTTTTTACGAAGCTTAAAAAGACAGTTAGCTATGCATCTATCCTAGCCTAGCTTATTCAGTTCAATATTTGTGCTCTGACTGATACAACTGAGGTGAGTAAACATGCTATTACTGCTCTGTTAACAGTGCTGGCGTTTCCTCTTAATTCCTGTTGCCCTGCAAAAACTATAGTAGAAGCGGTACTAGTGATTTTTTTTAGCATTTAGTTGTAGTTGTAGTTGTAGTCACTGTGTTTTAGCCCAATTAAATGGCAGTTAGTCAGATTGCTCACTACTTTGTTTTTGGACTTTGTATCCTCGCTTTTGTGTTTTTTTTTCTTTTTTTTAGACAAGTTTGTTTTGGCTAAATACTTTGGCTAGCTATAAATCAGTTGCTTCTCGATGGATTTTGCGAACTTTAATTTGCATTCTGGTGTCTCCCAAGTATATAAACCAGAATGGCTCAGTGGGAAAGACTGAGGCAGCTCTCTCCTACCTACTGGCAACAGCTTCATGAGCTTTACGACAGGGATGGGTTGCCTATGGAGGTGCGCCATTACCTTTCGGCCTGGATTGAGAAGCAGGAATGGTAAAAACGAATAGCTTTGATTGTATTTGATTATTACTGTACAATGGGTTTCATACAGCTCAGCCCCCCACCTGTTTCTTATTAAATCCCTTAGGCAACGAGCAGCAAGGGACTATGGCCTTGCAATGGTGCTGTACCAGGTCTTGTTGGAGCATCTGGATATCCAACACAGCCGCTTTGTCCATGACATGTCATTCTTACAACAGCACCACATCAGACGCTATAAACAGAGCTTCCAGGTGTGCAAAACATGAAAAGTAAATCAGGAACATGTATTTCTTTCCTTCAGTTTTTAAAAATACAATTTCATTATGTCAGAGTCGACAAACATAGTCTGAGTTGTTTTATATTGTACCGATTACCAGGTGCATTCTCTGTTAGAAACATACTCTTTAAACTCATTTTGTTGTCTGTGGTAAAAGTTCCTACATTTTTTTTTCATCTTCACCTTGCCATGTGTTTGATAGATGTATCAGGATGAGCCCTGCGCTTTGGCAAGCACAATCCTGTGGTTTTTAGAAAAGGAGAAGGAAATCCTGAACAGTGCTGAGATGGAAAAAAAGGTTGGTATAGCTCCTCTGTTGTTAATGTGCTATACATGGCACTCAACACACCTTGCTGCAAAACATATTAGAAACAGAATGTATTTTACTTGACGCATTTGACGTATGTGCAGAGTTAAGTGGCACAAGTGACTTGTATTGTAATTCAGTCTCAAGGAGAGCAGCACTATACATTACAGTTCCTTAGTCCTTTTAAAGTCAATTTGTCCTTCTAAAATCAATATGTACAAGATAAGAATTTGCATTTACCTTTTTTAAATGCTATTTTTACACCATTGTCTCTAGGTAACTGAACCAAATAAAAAGAAATACACTGTTAGCCATCACAGCCTTTAATCCCCTTTCCTTTTTTTTAGTTGGAACTTTTGCATGTTGAGCAGGAAGCCATGGAGACGAGTTGTCAACAGGAGCTTGAACGTAAAATGGCTGGATTAAGGAATGATGTTCAGGTGCATATAGCATTATTTCGTGTTATTTATGATTTTCACTGTACAGATGAAATATCTCATGCTCAAGAATCTTGTTTTCTCTCTCTTTCTGAACTTTTTGGCACACAGTGTTTGGAACATGAAATTGTCTGTCTGGAGGAGCAGCAAGATGAGTTTGATTTTAAATACCAAACCCACAAGATGGAAGGTCAGGACTTTTAAAGACTTCCAAATCTATGTTCAGTGTGTGATAATGATTAATACAATGGTCTGAATCACAGCTTTATGCTCTTTTGTGTTACACGGAAACTTTCAACCCACAATGGAAACTCTTATGCAGCTGTGACAGATGAGGCGCAGAAGAATGAACGGATGAAGCTGTTTCAGTCACTAATCAACAAACTGAATGAATGTAGAAAGGTATTACGCTGTTTACTAATTGTAAAAATGATTAAAAGCAACATTTTCGTCATTAATAAAACACTTAATGCACCCAAACCCATACCTCCTAACTAGTTAGTTACTTATGTTTTGATGCATATATGTGAATAATCTCATATCTTCATCTAATTTTTGAAATAAATCTATTGCTTATGTTAAAAACCCACAACACATTTTTTTCCAGTTTTGTGTTATAGTCATGCAGACAAAAAAATAGAAATGTAACTTTATTGATCTCACAATGAAGAAATTAATTCTCTGCATTTAACCGATCCCCTTTGGGTAGCAGCGGGCTGCCACTGTGCAGCACCCTGGGAGCAGGGTGGGATTGAGGGTCTTGCTCAGAGAGCCAGAGTGCAGGCTGTGGGGGGTCAAACCGGGTACTTGCAACCTTCTCACAGCACAAGCACACTGCTTTTACCCACTAGGCCAACACTCCCCCAATGATCAAATAAATCTTATCAGTCAAAATTAGGATCAGCAGTTATTAAAGAAAACAACATATTGCTGTTGATTGTAAAAAGCGAGACTGATGCATCTCTGCCATTATCTGCATGTTATAGTCAGTTGTTTTTTTTTTTTTTTTTTTATATTTTGTTTGTTTTGATTTTTAGAGCACCCTAGCAGACCTGAAGAAACTTCTAGACCGAGCTGAAGCTCTGATCAACCTGTTGGTGCGGGGGGAGCTGGTGGATTGGCAGAGGAGGCAGCAGAAATCCTGCATCGGTGCTCCAGACAATGTTTCCCTCGATCAACTGGAAAAGTGGTATGCTTCTTCCTACCTGCTCCAGATCCAGTTAGCTTATATGTATTTTAAAGCTTTAGAACTGACATAAAACACTTCTACCAATTAGTTTTATAACTCAGCTAAGTCCTTTTGAAAACTCAAAAGTCTTGTTTCTTGTCGTCTAGGTTCACCTGTGTGGCAGACAGTCTTTTTCAGGTGAGGGAGTTTCTCAATAAACTTGAGGAGCTAGTGGGGAAAATGACCTATGAAAACGACCCAATTAAGGCCCAGAAACCTGCCCTACAGAAGAGAACAGATGCTCTTCTTAAAGACTTACTCAAGAGGTGATGTCCTTTTAGAGCACAGTTTGTTGTGTTTAAGTTACATTACATTTTTGTGTGAAAATACTCTGACATTTTTTTCCCCCTGATACTTGAAGTTCGTTTGTGGTTGAGACTCAGCCATCCATGCCTCAGGGAAAAGGCCCCCTGGTTCTGCGTACTAATGTCCAGTTTTCTGTCAAAACAAGGTCAGTGTTGTATTAGTTTGAACGATTTTTGATATTTATCAATCAGGAGCAGAAGGTAGTTTGTGCTTATTTTCTAAAGTTATGTTTATTGTGGTAAATGAGACATTCAGTCTATTAATATCTTGCACTGATGAGTAATTAATTGTGCAATGCAAGTTAATACAGATACTTTCTGGTCTGACCTGGTAAAACCAGTTTAAACTGTTTTTTTTCTCCCTAAGAACCATAAAAACACAGGTGCTACAGGTTCTTTAAATAATCTCACAGAAAATTAATCCATGACAAGATTATCCCCATTAATGCATAAACCACACTTTAAATCTTAGACTTCTGGTTAAGTTTCCTGAGCTGAACCACTCCATGAAAGTGAACGTATCCATGTCCAGGTAAGATTTCTAGTTCACAATTATATATAATGCCTGTACTAAAAGAGCTATTTCTCTGCCTTGAGAAATATCCAACATGTGATAGTTGATAACATCCTGTTTCTTCCCTGTTTGCTCTCCTCCTTTACTCATCCTTCATATTAGGGAGGCTCCTCAAATCAAAGGGTGAGTTTATTTTGATGACCTTGGCCTTGATGTTAAAAGAAGAGCTATGCAGTATTTTTTGTTCCCACTAAAACCTGGTCCTTATTTAGATACCGGCGCTTTAATGTTCTTGGAACCTCCACTAAAGATCTGAATATGGCTGAGAGCCTCAGCGGAGGCATGGTTGCAGATTTCAGACATCTGGTGAGTAATAATGGTTTTAAAATACATCAGTCGCATACTTGGTAAATGCTTACCAGTTAATGTTTGTAAAGCATTTACACAATCACAAAACCCAAATAATTAAAATTTTCAATGATATCAAACGTGGAACAGTGTACTCTTAAATCAAATGAATCATTAAGCTGTCACTGGTAAGCCAAGCACTGAGATGTTTGCTGTTTCTCTTTAGACTCTGAAGGAGCAGAAATCTGGAGGAAGTGGAAAAGGGATTAGCGACGTGAGTTACATCAAGGAGTCTTATTTTTTCGATAAACCCTTCCATTTTTTTCTTATGGGTCTGATCTGATGGTGCTTTGTTTTTTTTTTGGACATGAATAGATTTCCCTGAGTGTTACAGAGGAGCTCCACATCATCTACTTCAACACTGTGTTTGAGCTGAAAGGCTTTTCAGTAGAGCTGCAGGTGATGTTTTCACTATTTTGATTAATGCCTTAGCAACGAACAACATTGAGATTAATCATTAATGTACAGCCTGACCTGCATTAAATCGGCTCCCCTCCCTGCTGTAGGCGTCATCCCTTCCTGTGGTCATTATCTCAAACTCCAGCCAGCAGCAAAGTGCCTGGGCGTCTATCCTCTGGTTTAACATGCTTAGCCAGGATTCAAAGGTAATAAGTTGCTCTCTTTATCCACCCTACACAACTAAGTGTATTGCAGTACAATTCCATTGTTTGATATTAAGGGCTGTAACATTTAGAAAGGCTTAATGCTAACTTTTGCATCTCTGCCCAGGATGTAATGTTTTTCGCCAACGTTCCTTCAGCTCCTTGGCCACAGTTTGGAGAGATGTTGAGCTGGCAGTTTCTCTCAGCTACAAAACGTGGTCTGGATGATGATCAGCGCAACATGATTGCATACAAGCTATTTGGTAACTTATAGCTCAAATAACAATTTTATTCTGAGAGAAATGTCTCAGAATATACACTTATATATATATATATATATATATATATAACCTTAGACTTTTCTCTTTAGTTCTCCCTTGGACTGAGATCAGGGCTTTGTGATGTCCAAACCTTTACTTTGTCGTTCTCTGTACCAGATCAGGAGAATGTTAAGGATCTGTTTGCAAAACCCAGAACAGGAAGAGTTTCGTCTAGGTAGTTTAGTTTAATTTCAGATGGAGAGAAAAATATTGAAGCCCTGTTCGAATTTCCATAAGCTCACCGTCCCCTATTGCCAATTGCTGTCAGTATGTCAGGCCTTTGACAGCTACTGAATGCGGTGACTTTGTCAATTGCATCACCTTTAATGTGAAGGAACCAGAAGAAGAAGGGTAATTCCTGACAGTTTGATCAGATTTTTTGCAGCTATTACTGCTAAAAATCAAGTACCTGCTTTGTTTTATTTCCTAGGATATAATTAAACACCTGGTATTTGGGTTTGAAATGTGAATAGGAAAAGCAACCCTTGCCATTCTTGACATAGCGTTAGCTTACCATTGAAATCTAATTGCACTTCACATGTACAACAAACCCCTGATGCTGGTATTCCATCATTGGGCTATAAAAACATTGAGTATTAAAGTGTCACATATTTTTTTTCTAATCCTAGCCCTATTTTTTTTTTTTTTCAAACATTATGCATAACTTGATAAAAAGGGAATAGCAGAAGCTCTGGCCATCTGTTTTTATGGCAGCATTTTAGTAACCACGGGGGGGGAATAATCTAACTAATGATGCTGAAATGTAATTCTATGACTTGTTATGCTTTTGTTTTGGCCCTTTGTTAGATTAGTCAGTACAACGTGTCGAAGATCACTGCACATACAAAACTTTAATATTTGTTCCTGTGTTTTTTCAATGAGTGTTGGTAGAGGATTGTAAAACCTGCCTGCAGAACTTCTAAACATTTCCAGAGGAATTTCTGTCGATAAGGACTGCACAGCATAATACAGCGTTTTTTCCGTCATAAGTGTTTTATGATGGGGAGTGTCACTGAGTGGACTTGAGTAATTCCGCTTTCTTTCTCTCTTTCTTTCTCAAGGATGGCAGCAAAACTATGACAACTGCAAAGTGACATGGTCAAAATTTACAAAGGTGAGAATAAAGAGCACTTAATGTTCAGCATTGCAGGCGTGCCTCTCTGCTGTTATTTCTCCTACTGTTTGTTTTCCTTTAAAGAAATAGTCATAGTGTGCACATCTGACAATGACAATGTTAAGGATGGTCAAATTTAGACATATTTTTGTGTTATTTATGATCAATATTTGATTGTTAAATATAAATTGTGTAACTGTTTACACTGAGCTGCTTGCATGGACAAATATTCTTCATAGAGACAATTTATAGGTGAATTGAGTTTATTTTGTTTCTGTTTATTGCAGGATAACTTTCCTGAAACTTTCTGGGTGTGGTTTGATGGCATCCTGGTGATGGTGAAAACCTACCTAGAGAACCTCTGGAGGGAAGGGTGAGTGCGTTGAATTTTTTTCAAGCTTAGATTTCTAGCCCTTCAGGATCATAGGCCTAATATGGCCCATCTATTTGAGACAAAACGATGCTATTAAACTTTGATAATTGCACGTATTTAGGAGTCATTACATGCACGTTTTTTAATAATTTAGCAATATACCTACACACTTAAATAACTTTAACATGTTAAAGTATTTCCCTTGCATGTGTGGGGGGTTATGGTAAAAGATTAAAACAAAGCAAACGTCATGTGATTTGTCAGGAAAGAAAGCATGTTTCACCAATTATTTTATAAGTAAACTAAAAAGTGTGGCATGCATTTTGTATAAAGATCCCATACATAAAGCCAACGATACGAATGACATCATTTAGATGGACTCAAAGCCAGGAGCACAACCCATCTGAGATCACTAAAAGATACTCTTTACCCCTGTTTACTAATAATCTGAGCTAGCTTGAAAATATTTAGAAAAGAACAGATCAAATATTAACAAATTATACTTTTTATATGTTTTTTACTTTAAATAAACTGCATGTAGTTCACATAGAATCAGGGAGACACTAATGGAATCTGACTTATGAAATACCATAATGGTAACAGTAATAGCAAAATATTTAATATAAGTAATGTATAATGTTTAAGTTATATAAAACAAAATATTTTGCTCTAGAAAAAGGATGTTCTTTTTTCCAGTGGTGGACCCATCCTCCATCTTCCTGTGGTGTGTTCCACTATGCCTTAAGCATACAGTAGTCCGACTTTTTAATCTCCAATCTGATTTTTTTCCCATGTCACACTGAGAGGCTCTGACTAGGCAGGGTGAGCAGATTACGATCTGTGCAGATTTATTTCAGTTTTGTCATAGTGTCCCAAAAATTAAAACGCTGTCTGCTATTTGACTGGGTCAGATTATGAAAAGTTATTACAAAAGCTTAGAAAATGGTGAAGCTACAAAGCAAAGCTCTACTTCTCTGCAGCAACCAGAACAGATAGAGAATGTTTATAGGAATATATCAAACATATAATTGGAACTACATTTAAAGAAAAGGAAAAAACAGCCGTGGGACCGTTTGTAAAGATACTGGTGAAGCAGTGAGAGATGATTCTCAGAGAGAGATCTGTGAACTTTGTTGAATTTAAAGAAAAAGTTATTTTCATAAAGGGGGCAGATGGATAAATTGTGCTTACCTGCACCGTCTGCCCCTCTTTATTTTTGTGAGGCTCAAAGAAGATCACTATTTTTTATCTGTTTCCTGTCCTCCTGGACTCCTTTCATGGGTCAAGTAGTCTGTTTTATGAAATGTTTCATTGATTGTTCCTGCACATTAAAAGTCTGCCCTGCTTGCTATATATGTGCTGTGTGAATCCAAACCTGTTTTCTTTTAATGTTGTCAGGTTTAATTCTGTATTTTTCCTCAAACAAAATGTTTGAGGAAAAATACAAGCGTTTAATTTTCAGACCCATGAAGTTGCCTCTGTATTGCTTCGTAGTCCGACTAAAATAGACCCGGGGTCTATCTCAGACGGAGATACCCAAGTCCCCAGCAGAAAATCATGTTGGATGTGTTCATCCTAATTTACTTCAATGAGCACTAAATTCTATGACCTCTTTCGACAAGATTTTCTGTCAGGTCAGAAGCAAAATCAGATTGGTGTGCTCTACATCAGTGTTTTGAAAAGGCGGTGTCTGTACCTGACCTGTACTGGAAGCACAATCTAGGTTCCCATACATAATGTAATTAAAGTAATATTGATGTCACTACTCATTTCTATCCTTAGATGATCAAAGACTGCTTAACAACATTGTATAAAAATGTATCCATGACTTTTCTGTGGGTTTTAAATGCATTTTACATACACTTTGTTACATGCCTGTCTGATGTCACCATCAGCTGTGCTCTGATCAGTCAAGCAAAATACCATAGGAGCTTGTTGGTCTGTAATTTAGTTATGTCTTTCTTTAGATCATGCACTATGTTTTATAACAGTACAGCAAAATGCAAACATGAAACTCAATTTCAACTAGATATTTATTTGCATAAAGGTGAATTTGTCCATCCCAATGCTCAGACGAATATTAAAAACAAAATATTCTGGTAGGGTAAATAAAAGAATACTTTTAAGACATCTATGATTGATTTGTGATAAATTACAAGATAACTATGGATCTTCATTCAAATCATTTCTAGTTAATGTATTAATTCATTGACAGATCTACTTGCAACGGAACAAGATGGAGTATGTCAAGTTAAAGGGGTTGGCTTTACCGGTGCTTGTGGGAATTAGGACGTGCATGAGGAACATGATTGAGTTTGTTTTGTTAGAGTAAAACTTTTTGTTCTTTCTTTCTGCAATGCAGTCTTATCATGGGTTTTGTGAGCAAAGGTAAAGAAAAGTCCCTCCTGAAAAAGAAGAAAAAGGGCACGTTCTTGTTGCGCTTCAGCGAAAGTGTGGTCGGAGGAATCACCTTCTCCTGGGTGGACATAGACTCATATGGTTGGATTTTTTACTACACGATTACTTCAAAACCATTGCATACTAGACAGAAATCTGTTTCATTCTTCATTTATCTCTGTCGTCAATTTTAGGTGAGCCTGACATAAAGACAGTCCAGCCCTTCACCAAAGTGGATCTCTGTCAGATCCAATTCCACGAAATTCTCAGAAATTTCCAGATCTTAGAAGATGAAAACGTCCCAGAAAACCCTCTGCGGTTCCTTTATCCAGACACCCCAAAAGATGAGGCTTTTGGGAAGTGGTACTCTGAGAACACTGGAGGTATGGCTTTCAGACGCTACTGCTTATATTTGCACTCAGATACTTTTCTTTTTTTATATATTTTATATTATTTACAAAAACCACAAGTCTAATCCTACCTTACATTTTTCCAGATGAAAATCCTTACATGAAGTACATCAAAACCAAGCTGATGTTTGTCTCTAAAGAGTAAGTGTTTTTCTTCTCTTGAATGATGCTGATCTGCATTGACCTGTCTGAATAAAAAAGTCAAACAAATAAAACAAACTAAAAAAAACAATTAAACAAAAAAAAAAAAAAAAACTAATCCAAAGAAATAGTATACCCACTCCATTTTGTTTATAACCTGAGCTACTGGTTGTAATGACTGTTTGTCATTGGTCATGTAGGAAAACTCTGGACCCTAGGTCACCCATGTCCTGTGACATGACACAGGGTGAAGGCCTGGAGCCAGTGAATGGCCCGTATGGGGAGGCAGCTGGTGAGTCTTGGCTCTCCTTGCTGTCCAATCCGACTAAAGCCCCCTTCAAACCAATCTTTCCCTATCATCATAACGTTTTTTTTACTGCTTTAGTTTGGACTGGTGTTGTTTTACATCATACACTGTGTTTGGGGGTGGCTATGATAACCCACTTCTCTCATGGGCAGTTTGGTGCTTCTTCTGCATGAACATTTCTTTTGTCCTTTGCTCTCAGAAAATATCTGTATGAGGAGTCTTGGTTATCTAAGGTGGTTGCTAACATGTTCATTTCATCCAGTCTGGCTGTATTCAGATTGTACTCTTTACTTAAATTCTTGAAAATAATAAGCAAAGGTTATCATAATCAAATAAATAAGCTGAGATTAATTGGTAAAGATATTTTATCATAATGGTTTTCTTAATCAGTTGTTCTAGTGTGAGAAATTGATTCTTAAAGGCTAATTTATTTAGAAAAATGACATTCATGTTAGAACAGAAGTGACTGTATAATACTAATATGCTTTTACAGCTTGGAACAGAATTACTTCAGCCGAATATACTTGCTTCTTTTCAGTTCACTTCTGATTTGTTTGTTAAGACCACTGCATAGGATCAGTGCTCATCATCACATATAAGGAAAAGCCTGAAAGTAGATATGAATTCAAACAGTGGTGCATCTCAAGGAATTGGAAATCCGGAAATCTATTTAAAAAGTAATTAAATTCAAAATTCATTATAATCATTGCGAGATTCACACGTGTTTATCTTTAATCATTGTGATGATTAAGGGTTACAGCTTATAAAAAATAAAATAAAAGTTACATTTGACTAATAAAAAGATCCAGACAGATATGTTTTAACTTCCTTATGGCCCACAACGTCCTATATTAAAACATATTCATGTGAAATTAATACAATAAAAAAAGATGTCAAAAAAACATGTTCTTGAGGGGATTTTGACCCAAAGCACCTACAGGACTTTGTGAGGAAGACGGGTAGACTGACTGGAGACACGGGCTTTAGGAGCTAAACTATGTAGAGATCATGGAGCAGATCTGTTTAATTTCTGCTGTTAAGTTTTTGTTGAGGCAGACTAAATATTAGAAGGGTCTTACTTGGGTTAGACTGTTGCTTTGCAATCCAAAGTCCTTTTTTCAGGTGTAAAGAAAGTTTGTGTATTATTTGAGAATCAAGGATCCAAAGTCTTAAAGAAGCGTGGTCAGCTCAATGCCAAGCTGCACAGATGCAGTAGTTTATGCTAAATGAGCTCTCTCAAGGTACCCGGTCATCATACAGATATGAAAACTGGCATTGTTGTCAGAGGGAGAGTGTTTCTGTTTCACATTCTTTTTTTATTGTTTTTGTGTGTGTGTGTATACAGGATTAACAATCTTTCCTCATTCAAATCGCAAAGTGCTATAGCCTTTTCTGTGTATAAATATATCACATATAGCTTTAGACAGAAGACAACAGGAAATGATAGCTTTTGGAGCAGGAAAATGGTTTTAACAGTAGGATTTCCAAGCATGAACAGACACATGATAAAGTTCAAAAACTTTTTTTTTATTGTTTCAGTTTCTGAGAAATTGAATTTTAAGTTTCCAAGAGCTGTAGGTTTGTTATCTAATTTAACATAAATAAATGCCTAAAATCTGTGTGTAATAAAGCTAATTAATATACACGTTTACCTTTTTAAACTAATAAAAAATGAGCCTTATTACATGAGATGCCCTGAACTTAAGGTTTTATATTCCCATTCATCCTGGTGATGAATGATACTCGGGTCAACTCCTTCTTTTCAGTGCCTTCACACAGCTTTTACTTTCTCCAGCGTGACTAATCCCCATGTCTATCACTCTCACTTCCCCTTAAAAAAAAGCAGAAATATGACAACCACATACAGGCACCGCAAATAAAAAAAACAACGACTCTGTTTTCTTCCCGCTTAGAACAAGACGATGAGCCTGATCTTCTGCAGTCACAACTGGAAGCCTTTCAGGATCCCATGCTGAGCGGCTCTCTTGAACCCCCTGATGAAGATCTCCTGTGGAACATCGACGACCCTATCCCAACTGACTACGACTTCACACACCCCGACTTGCTGACAGATTTGAGCTTTTCAGCACTTAACTTCCCACCCGCACAAGCCTGTGGAGGCAATTTACAATAGGTCTGTGCAGGCCTATTATACCATCTGGCAAATAATCCATTGACTAACTCTTAGTTGCTTGCATCAAAAAAACTCATGTATACAAATGTGATGCAGGTAAACTAATGAATACAACTATAACAGCTTGTTTAGTTTCCTATCATGTGAATGAGCCACCTTCAATCTGCTTCACTCATGTATAATATAAACCACACTTCAATGACCGAAGAAGCTGATTCAAATGCACTGCCAGCCTGGAATTTTGGAACCCCAGTACTTTTAGATCATAGACAGAACTAATATTGAAATAAAACTGACCACGGTGGGAAAAATTGTATGAAGCACTTTACACCGTCTTGGCAAAGCGGCACTTGAGTTATTATCTTGTTTGGGATCAAGCTTTTGCTAAATAATTTAAATGTTTTGAGCTGGAAGCAAAACAGACCCTGTGAAGACTTTTCCTTGTGACACTCCTCTAATAATTTAATATTTTTTCAATTCTGTAAAACTGATAAAGATTTCCCATTTTCCCTGTTTTCTTTTTTTTTGTTCAAAGCTTGGCTTGTCCTTTCTGTCTCTTTCTATTTAAGCCCAGTCCATTATTATTTTGAGCTTTATTTTTGTACATAGGTTTTTCTGTTCTTGCACTTTCACAAAGATGGTCATTTCTGGTAAAATGTATGCGTTTGACTTTATTTAACCTTATCCATCTCGATTTGTGTATCTCTTGTGAATTATTTCTAATTTAATATCTTTTTCAAACTTGAGTCCAATTGGCTTACCCCCCTGTTAATTCATAATTCTTTTGCTGTTTTTGTTCATCTAATTTAATGTAATAAACCCTGTTTGATGGATTATTTGACTGGCTTCCATTTTTAATACTGATCAGACCATTATTGGCACAATAAACATATTTGGTACAATAAAATAAGCATATAAATTACCAACCTTTGCAGCCTTATGCTACGCTCAGACCGCACACAGCAGAAGCAGCAAAAAATGTGCGTGCTGGTTAATTTTTGATGCTTGTACTAGTTTAGTTCTGATGCGCTGCTGCAGCATCATTGCTGCTCTAGCTGCGCGGTTGAAAAGTGGGTCTGTTGCGTGTTGGGTGGAGCTACCCTATCCTTTCTTTGCCTGTAACAATGGCAGCTGAATTTGCTGTTATAAGTGGGTAGAACATAGTTTAAACATGTTTTTAAGTTAAAAAGTCCACCTGAAAACTACATCTGTGCAGTCAGTTGATCAAGATAATAATCTCGCTTTCAAATGTTATTTGTCGGAGCTCCTCAGAGCCCCAAATATTGGTGCGCTGTCACTGGGAATCCCGTTCAACGGCAGCCACTGGCCTGGTTGCCTTTTCGTGGCGGCTGGAAGGAGATGTTACCAGAACAATAAAATAAAACATATATTGCCGGCAGGTTGTGTCTGTCTCCCTGCCAGCTCCCAAATCAGTTTTTCTGAGTGTTTGATGAGGCGCGTCAAGCAGCAAAAGTACAATTTTTCCAACTCTAGCAGTTGCTGCTCCTGGAGCACCACCTGCTTCGGCTGCTCAGACAGGCTGCTCTAAACACGCTGCTGGACTGTTGCTGTGCCTTCATGCGCATCAACTGTTGACTTTGCATGTAAACTAGCTGCTTCTGCTGCTTGCGGTCTGAACGTAGCATAAGAGACCTTCAGTCTGGGTATTGTGTTTTGGTATATACTGTAGGTGCAGACTACTGGTAAAGGTTTTGCTGCACAGATCAACTTTGTTTTATCATATGATACATGGTTAGCATGAGTTAGAAGACCTGTGTTACTGGTTTTCTTAGATCACATCCAAAGGACTTCCAGCAGTTACAATCTGGTAGCACTGACCGTATATCTAATGAGGACTCTTGAGAGGTTCCATTATTAATTTTTCTTTTTAGTGAGGTCATCAGGTGGACTGTATTTTACCTTACCACCCTGGCATTGGGGTAGATGGTGCTATCTCCTGTACTGCACTGCAAAAACAATCTAGAAACAAGCAACATTTTTTTTTAAGTTAAGTGTATTTACCCTTAATTTGAGTAGGTAAATTAGATAATTTGCCAATGGAATGAGTATTTTTACTCTTAAAAAATATATTTGGATAAAATGCACTTGAAATAAGACATGCAATTGTGTTTTCTTATTTTAAGTGTAAATTGTCTTGTTCTATTGGCAAAATGTCTCTTTACTTCCTCAATCCAAGAACAAATGCACTTATTTTAAGAAAGAAAATGACTTATCTAGATTTAGATTTTTTTCAGTGGGGCTCTGATCCACCTGGAAGTACTGAAGGATCATGTATTATTTATATACGATCCAGTGAATGGATGAACTTCTGAAGGAAAGCTGGAGCTGTCAGGACTGGACCGTTCGTGTTTCACCTTCAGAAGTCTCAATGTACAGACAATGGGCACAAACTATGCATCTAGCATGCAACAGTCTTTCACTGAATGAGCTGTACTTGTGGTATAAACATAGACAATTAGCTTTGCTTCAGCTTAATGCATGGGGTGTTGATGTTGTTGTTGCTATGCTGGTTTAAGAATATGTCCTGAGATAAAGATGGTCATCCTGATAAACTTTTCCAACAGCTTAATCTCAGCAGTATGTTGCTGCTCTACCATACACAATAAAAAGTCAGAAAAAAATTCAGATTTCAAGTTTTCAGGAGCGCCCCTGCAGTCCAAAGTCAGTCAACTGCGGGTAGAGTGTGCTGTGGCCATTTCTGTGAAAAGCATCTGTTATTACTCCAATGCAGTGAATTGTTCACCGAGATTCCTTTAACAGTACATTAGATGAACATTAGTTCCCTGGATGTTTAACGTTTCCAGTGAGGTGGGTCTGTATCTGCAAAAGTCCACCACTGAGTAATTTGCTGTATCTGCATTGATCATGCTTACGTTCACATCAGTTTACTGAGTTTTCTCACAGATCCTTCCTCCCAGCAGCTGTCAGTGTCAATAATTCCGTAAGTTTATACATACCTGCGGATTTTTGTACAGATTCCATTGTTTCAAAGAGGCTGTTGCTTTTTATGCAATTTTCAAATACATTTTTTTTTTTAAATGACTAGTTGTCTTATTCTTATGTTTCCCCTTAAACAACAGGATGATACTTTACAATAAAGATTGGTGCAGTAAGGGCATAGGTTTTTTGTTGAAGATTTATTGGATATTAATAGTAATTTTCAGAATATTTAACCAGCCTAAATAACCATAACATTAGATAAACCGATTCACAATATAATAAGATATGCAAACCCACACCTCAACCCTTTATTTAACCAAGAACACTTTTTAAAATCATCACAATTTCATCACCTTCCAAAATTAAATAAAAATATTTAGCATGTATTTTTCATAATAAATGTATGGTTTATTAATCAATCAGTCTGTAAAACCTCTCATATTTAATTATTATGAATAAGGACCTGATGCAGAAAAAGCATTAATTAAAAAAGCAAACATTTAATGACAGTGAACCTCAATGATATTCGCTTTACATGGGTTAAATAGCCAATTTATCTGCCAATTAAAGAAACCTAGATTAGAATATCATACCAAATACATTTTAAATAAGAAATTCAAATGTGAGGTAGATGCTCATTAATCTTGTGAAAAACTATAAATGAACAATTCAATATATATTTTCTGTGGCCTTCTTCTAAAAAAATCAGATCTTGTTTTACACAATTGGCTATCATTTAAATTTGACAACATTTAAAATTTTGAAAAGGCCCATATACTTTTTTATTGGCAGTATCTGTCAGGTTCCTGTGTGTCAGTGAGTGCGAGTTATGCATCTTCTTTCAGAGAGGATATTTGGGCAGAACCTGCATAGCCTGCACAGGTGAAGATAATATTTCTAATCATAGTGCTGGGCTTAAAAGAGCAGCAGAGCCTTCACTCAGTGCTGCTTTCCTGTGTGTTGTAGATGTGTGTTTTGTTGTCTTCTAGTCTCTTGCTTCCCTAAAGTATTTTCCCTGACATTTATTGTTTTTTGTTTGGTTTTCAGTATTTTTGTATCTTGGATTTTTGCCTCTGTTCCCCTTGGACTTAAATTAATTCAAATCTAAACTAATCTGCGCCTACTCCTCTCTACATTTGGGTCCTCTAAACCTCCACCCAACCTGACAGTATCATTTGTTCCATTTATTTCTGCAAATGGAAAGTAGATTTAGAGTTACTTCTCCTCCATCAAAACCATAAAAATTAAGCTAAACTATATAAGTAAATACTTTTTATTTTAAAATGCCTCTATTTAATTTTCTTTCTTCTAGTCTTTTGATCCAGCAAGAGTTATTCCCCCAAATATGCTCTTTTATATTCTGATGTGTATTGGTAATACCTATCCTTAACTATAAAAGCGTGCAAGCATGGTTGCACGCTTGGAGCCTGCCTCTAGTTCACATATAAACTTTGATCAAGTGTACATGTCATCGAGGGGCATAGGGTGTGCTTTGGGTATTGGGACAGGCATGGGTGGTTCTAGACGGGGGGGTAACAGGGCCAGTGCCTCTGTTATGAAGACAAACACAATACTGTATATGATGAACTATATAGAACAAAAATAGTGACTTAGAGGTCTCTTACACATTTCATTTTTTTTCCTCTACAAGCACACTTTAATCATGTTTTAAACATTAATGTGGTAGCTTCAGTCATGTTAAGATAGGGTCGCAGTTTTTATTTGCTAGACATTATTTTGAACCACAATTTGATAACATTCTCTAATTTGTTAAAACTGAATTGATCAGTTTTTCTTAGATTCTCATTTGAGCAAAACTGGTCATTTTCATTTGACATTAATCAAAAACATCTGATAGTCCTGAATTACCGTATTGGCCCGAATATAAGTTGTTGTTTTTTTTCATTAAAAAACAATAAAACAATAAATACAATCAGTTTCTGACAAATTATACTGGCTGACAGTTGTCTGGGTTTCGCTACACGAACGCAACAGCAGAGGGTGTCAGTTGTTCACAGGGCTTCGAAATCACTAACTAAAACATAGCAACAGTTACACAAATGTTGCAAACAGTGAAGCTATCCGTTATATATGATAAAACATATGAATGTGAACAAAATTGAATTTGTCTCACACGCAACATATCACAATATGTTTTTGCTAAACTTGTGAAGGTGGCTGTGGGACACTGTATAGCTCTTTGCAGCAGCCAGAGATGTGAAGAGGTCCTAATGTTAACTGTGAGCATACTGCGTCCTGCTCCTACAGCTACTTCCTCACCTCACTGCCAGACCCAAATGTTGAGCAAGAATGGCCCATAACCCCAATATCAGAGTCATCCACTTCTTGGACAATTTGCTTGGTGAGATCTGGATGAGTTAGAATAGGTCCTTGGGAAATCTATAAATCCTGATAGGCTGTATTAGCTTCTCTGGAACAGATTAAACTTCTCTAGAGTAGAGATTAGGGCAGTTAGAGGTGCAGCAACTTGACTGAAGTTCTTGATGAACCCTGTAGAAGTTTTAAAATCCCAGAAAACATTGAAGTTGTTTATGAGAATCTGGAATGGGCCACTCAAGGACTGCTCTGATCTTCTCAGGATCTGACCAAATACTGTACGTGTTCTTCACCCTCTAAAATGAAACCAAGAAAGGATACTGAAGGCTTGTGTAATTCACAATTTTTTCTAGTCTGACATGGCAACAGTGTTAAGCAAGACTATTTGAGTAGATTAATGTCATTGAGGTAGATAAAGACAAAGATGATTAGAAAATCTTTTAGGATGTAATTAACTAACGCCTGGAAAACACAGAGCTTTGCAGAGGCTTAATGGCATGACAAGGTATTCAAAGTGACCCAAAGGGGTCTTGAAAGCTGTTTATTCTGGAGAAATCATTTTTCATGTGACTCTCTTGAGAACTTGGCCTGTGGGCTGAAGAGGCTCAAAGCGACTCATGAGGAGATGGAGATTTTGTATATTTATATTTTAAAATAAAGGAAACTTTAGGTCTCACCCATAAATAGCAACAGGTTACACGTCTAAAGACAGGTAGCTTTTGCTCACTGTCCTGTTTACACAGTTGCTTCATGGTGTGCTTAACCTAAGTCTTCCGGTTTTGTCATGTGTAACTATTATCCAGTTTATTGCACACAGTGTTCCTGAAAATGTCAATGCTCAAACTGGTGCTAAAGCTCAAATCTTTAAAAAAATATTTGACCGCTTAATATACTTGAAAAAGGGCAAACCATTTGCAGATCTAAATGTAAAGCATTCATAAGGTTAGGTTTAGGGTGAGGGTTACAGTTAGGCTTTAGAAATGCAATAGAAATTAATGGAAGTCAACGGAAAGTCCCCAAATGTATAGAGGAACTTGACTGTGTGTACGGCAATGTTTTTGCAACCTTGTGGGGCAAAGGTTGCAAAAATGTTGCTACAGTTTGGGGACTTAGGTACTTGTAATAACCAATGACTGGTTGCAATAAGGAGAAGTTGTCTTCTTGGGGTGGGGGTTAGGTTTAGGATTAAAGGGTGAATTGTGTTTAGGTCAGGTTTAGGGTTAGATATGTGCTGGTAATGGTTAGGGTTAGGGTAAAGTTCTTGGTTAGGCCATAGAAGTAAATGTAAGTCAATGGAAAGTTCCCATAACAATAGTGTAACAGAAAATGTGTGTATGTAATATATATAAACTGAATTCAAAGGAATTAGCTGCCAAATAAAGTATGTATCATGCATTACAGGCTGGCTTTGAACTGGATGCTGTTATTGTAACTTAATTGTTGAAATACTCAAAAAGCAGATAGTGTTTCTGCAGTTAAAAACACATTTTGATTCAGAAGACAGGAGCTTTTTTTATTATTTTAAAAAAAAGCTCTTGTATTTTTTCTAGTTTAGTTTAGCTGTCAGTCAAACTAGTGGTTTTTCATTTTGTGAGGTTTAGGTGCAGTATCTTAAAAATAAGTGCAATGAAGGTAGTGGACCTAAAGTGTTCAAAGAGGTTGATAATGACAGGGACAATGAATGTCCCTCTTGGAAAGGATACAACATAGACTTCAAACACTGTTTCCAACAAAATACAAGACATCAGGAAACCACAAGAACATGACTTCATGGAGGATTCATGTTTTTTTAGTTCTTAAATTGTAATTCAATTTCAATTCAACGTACTGATTGTCATTGTATATCATTGACATATCATTACTGTCATTGTACTGATAGATTATTTAATAAATTTACCCATTTTGATTTTGGTGTTACAATAAACAGTTGAACAACAGTAAAGGGGGTCTGGGTGGCAAGACAAATACAGATAAACTTTGTCATCTTCTATTCACAGAGTGTATACAAAACAAAATTTCGTTTTGTACAGCTGTCATGACATTTGCATTTCTTAAAGTGCAGCAGTGGTCATAATGAACACAAAAACATACTGCATTAAACACATTGGAATGGTCAGTTTGATGCAGAGTCTGTGACATGATTTAGTTATTTCAACAGTTCAACAGTTCAGCTGTCTGATAGGTGTGGGGAAGAAACTGTTTTGGAATCTGCTGGACCTGCATCTAATGCTGCAAAGCCTCTTTCCTGAGGGAAGCAGGGAGAACAGTCCATGGTGGGGGTGTGAGGGGTGATTGATAATGTTAGGGGCTCTGGACACACAGCGCTGGGATGAAATGTCTTTTATGGAGGGAAGAGGAGCCTTGATGATCTTCTCTAGAGTTCTCCCTATTCTTCTCACCTTCTTCCAGTATGCGGCGCTGCAAACCCCACACCATATAGTAAGCCAGCTGGTCAGAATGCTCTATATGGTGCTTTTGTAGAAGGTCGTGAAGGTGGGTGGAGGCAGGTGGGTCCTCCTCATTCTCCGAATGAAGTACATGTACTTTTGTTCCCTTTTGAGCAGTGAGGTGGTGTTTACAGTCCAGCTGAGGTTGTCTGATGTGCATCCCTAGGAATTTGGTGCTGCTGACCACCTCTAAAGTTGAGCTGTGGAGCATGGTTAGGCCAATTTTTTCGTGAAATCAACAATGATTCTATTCCTTAAATTTTCAAAACAAACGTTACTCTTGGCTCCGGTTTTATGTTTATAAATATTTATTTCATGTCATGTGCGCCATCCAGTGCAGATCATTGGCACCATCCACATCTAGTGAAAAGTATTGTAATTGGATGAGTCATAATGCGAACACTCATTGGTTAGCTAAAGGAAATCATCAGAAGCAAACTGGTGTTCTTAAACTGCAAACGCGAATTGTCTATGCCATGCTACAATGTCGGATTCAGAAAAAGATGTTGAAATAGTTGATAGGGCGGACACAGGCAAGAGCGTATCGAGAGATGGAGACAGAGACCAACAAGACCTCCCTCATCCTTGGCCCTATCTCAAAGAATTTTTCGAAAATAGTCGATAAATTTAGCTTTCAATTCATATAGTGGCATCTGGCTGTTTTTTTTTTAAAGGTTACTTTAAACTTTAAGTAGTTTTTGGAGTGCATACTTTTTCACTTTTACTTGAGTAAAGAGGTCAAGTTGATACTTCAACTTTTACCATAGTGTTTTTAAACTGCAGTATCTGTACTTCTACCTAAGTAAGAAATGTGTGTACTTTTGACAGCACTGAGTGTCATCAGGGTGAACAACAGGGGTCTCAGGACGCAGCCCTGAGGGAAGCCTGTGCTTAGGGTGATGACATCAGAGGTGTTCTATCCAACCTGAACTGACTGAGGTCTGTTGGTGAGGAAGTCTAGCAGCCAATTGCAGAGGGGTGTATTGAATCCCAGCTGTTCCAGTTTGCCCATTAGATGCTCTGGGATGATGGTGTTGAAAGCTGAACTGAAGTCAAGGGACAGCATCCGCACGTGGCTGTTCTTCTATGTGTGCAAGGCTCAGGTGACGAGCAGTAGAGATGGCGTCCTCAGTGGAGTGGTTTCATAGACGATGTGGCCTTGCCACATCCTCCTAGAGTCATGGAAAAGATCATGGATTTTCTGGTCATGGTTCTGATTCGCTGGTCTCATGGCACAGTTTATGTTGGAACGCGCTGTTCTCAGTGCCTCTTTATCACCAGACTTGAAAGCTGAGTTCCGCTCTTTTAGCGATTTCTGGACCTCCCTATTCATCCAGGGTCATTGGCTGCTCGGATGGTGATTTTCTATGTAATGCTGGCATCTTCAATGCATTTGTTGTTCCAGTAGTCTATGGGTGCATCTGTATAAATTTTGAGAATCTTGCCTGGCCTGGACAGTCCTGATCTCATCATTATAATTAGTTCTGGGATGAACAAGAGCAGGTGGTAAAAATTAGCCTGGCCCTGAACAAGTCCACAAACCTTATGGAAGACTTTTACACAATTTTTAAAGCTGCTATTGTGGGAACAGGGGTCCTTCACCAGATAAGACCCAAATATCATGTACACAAAAGTAGACAAATACCTTTGGTTTTAGTGTAGCTATTAAAGAGAAGAATGAACATATACAAAGAAGATAATTGTTAGTCAAAGATTTCTTCGTATTACTCCTAGAAAAACTGGAAAGGTGTACAACAGTTTATTTTCTTTGTACAGCTAAACAATTAAACCATTAAATTATTTAGCCTTATGTGCATGTTTTGTATTCTGTCCACTTGTCTACTATGCCACTATCACACCTAAATTTCCTCACTGAGGGACAATGAAGGCTTTCCTTTATACCACTTCTATTTTTCCAAATATTCCAAAGGCCAAACTTGTGCTTTTCAATCATGGGAAGATCAAAAAAATACATTTAAAATAAAATTTTAAAAATGATTGTACTTTAACTCCTCAAATTGTTTGTATACCTTTCCTGATGGATGTTTTGTTTGTTTTTTTTTTCTGTGTGACTGTATCCTTACATACAGTAGTTTATAACTGAGTTTATGAATCAAATGAACAACAAGGAATATTAACCTGTAGATTAAAGAGTAGTGACTTGTAACACATACCTTTCCTACAATGATTCAGAGAACGCCTTAGTGTTGTCTTCTAAACAAATCTGGGTCAGGCACAGAGAATCATCTCAGGCTTCACAGCAGCTATGAATAACATGGTCTGCCGTCTAATAATGACCCATTTAAGATATGCCTATGCTTGCCCATGCATATTCCACCCATCCTATGTCCTCATAAGGGCCAAATCACTTCAATACTTAGCGTTAGTCATGCCCTGTCAGCACATGCAGCACAGTGTTGAGACAGATCCGTCACAAGTTCCTGTATTACTGTAATAAAGGGTTGTGTTAACTGGGACTGGCCTGAAAGGGTTGAGTAATTATGGCCCTGTCTGGTGTGATGTGATGCTTCCACAAGCTGTGGTATTTTTTTCTTTAAATTACATCATGACAGGTTACCTTTTAAGAAAAATATAATTTATTACACAACAGATAAAATGTAATGTAGAAAAAAGATCTCTGCACATTGAACTGCAAAGTGTAATCCATATGTATAAAACAAATATGTTTCAATAATATCACAGGCGTGGCTCTGATATAAAATCAACTTTATTTTTACTTGATTAAAAAGATAAATTAAAGTTTTGTATAAAACATTGTGCTATTACAAAACAAAAGCAAAATAAGTAGTCTTGCAAAATTTACAAAAGGCATTATAGAGGAAGCAAAAACTGTTGAAAAAGTTCTGAGAATAGCATGTCAATATGAATAAATCAGTACTGACAAAAATGATGAGGCCAGGCCATATAAAAGTCATTGTGCACAAGTGACCTAGAGAAGTCAAGAAACTGGAGGCATTAAAGGAAACATTTTACACAGACTCAGCAGAGCCTCCAAATCCCCTTTTCATCACGTCAGTCAAAATAAGCTATAGAAAATTTAGGGTTTGGAGGTCTGATGTCGGCTGCAGAGGTAGGTTAAAGGAAAAGCAGATCTGCTGAGCAGCTCGCTATAAGCCTGTCGAAACTGTCTGTTCATGAGTGCATACAGCACAGGGTTAATGCAGCTATTGAGCCAGGTGAGGTTTGCACAGAACATGTGCAGCATCTGTGGGGCACGGTTTTGTTTATCAGCTATATTTAGCAACAGAAAGGGGACATAACAGCACACAAAGCACAGAAAAACGGTGAAACACATGCGGGTCACCCTTTTGAATTCTCCATCATCTCCTGAAGTCGAGGATTGGGAAGCGGGAGCAGCGCTTTGGGTCACTGACTTGGCATCTCGGGACTTTAAGTGTGTTGCCAATTTCTTGGATGGTAGAACCTCTTTTTCCTTATCATCTGTGCTTTGGTCTGGTTCCACTTGGCTGCTTAACTCTGAGCTACATGTCTTTCCCACACCACTTTCTACTCCACTATCATCCGTTCCCTGAGCTGAAGGAGCTGGTCTCTTCCTGGAAGAGTGTCGACTCAGCCTGTAGCGGAGCAGAGCTTTTGATGCAATCCTAACCTTTCTGTAAATGAGCATGTAGAAGACTCCAACGCATCCTAGGCCAAAGAAAAAATAGAAAAAAAGCAGGATGGTGGTATAGGGGCGACCCTTGGTGCGATGGAAGCTGCAGGTGCACACCTGAGGCACAAACACGTAAGTAGACCAGAGTGGGCCAAAGCTGGCCAGACCCAGACCCCATGCTGAGATAAGGAGCAAAATAAGTCCACGATTGGAAAACACGCGGTCAAAAACAGCTCTTTTGGCAACCAGGAGGTATCTGCTTATTGCCAACAGGCAGAGGGTGATGATGGAAACAGAGTTGGAGAGGAAAAGCAGTAACCCAAAGATCTGGCACCAGAGCTGACCACTTCGCCATTGAAGGTGCAGGTAAGAGTCAACAGAGATGGGTTGCAGGATGGTACAGTACAGAAGATCAGCCACAGCCAGGTTAACGATGAGAACGTTGAAGCGAGTCCGGAGATGGGGATCCAAGGAGAAGGCCAGGATAGTCATAAGATTCCCCACCGTTCCAGTGATGGTTACAACACATCCCCACAGCACGGCAAAATACCGGTAGCCTATGACCGAGGAGCTGTAGCAGGAGAAGAGGTCGTCCTCCGTTTGGTTTGTCTGATTCATCTCCATTCTGAAAAATCAAAGAGAAGTTGGTTTCCTTCAAATGAGTCGATGGAGCGCAAATGCTTTGTTACATTACAGGCTTAAAAAGGAAGTTATGAGGGGACAAAATAAATCAACCACTTCCTTATACAGCGCTGACTGAAACTGTTTATGAAGGTGTTTATTTTAATTATAGTTTGGTTTCTTTGTAGCTAAAGGGAGGTAAAAAAATGATAATTTTATCGTAAAAATCGTATAGAATAATTTTATTTCATACTAATGTAACAGATTAGCTAAACAAGTCCTAATTTTTTTAATTATGCAAAAAAAACTTTTGTTTTAGATTTTACAGCAACACAGTAAATGGTAATGGCATTTACCATTTAACACAGTAACTACACGACAATACTGCAAAAAAACTGACTCTGAAAACTTAAAAAGGTCCCCAAATCTATTTGAGAAATAGTATCAAGTTTTGAAAAAATGTAAAAAAAAACAAAAAAAAAAAAACAAAGCAACAAAGATAATCAAACTCTAAAAATGTAAAACAAAAATTCTGTTTTAATCACAAAATTAAGAAGAGGTTAAAGCCAGTTTGTATATACTACATAAACAGTATTTCAATCTGAGTAAATGGATGAGGATAATGAAAATATTTATTTCATTTACTAAGATCGACTCTAATTAGAAGATGGAACAACTTCTGCAAATTCTAACTAAAGAATGAGATGTTCAAACTAACAGAAAACACGTAAAATGTGCCTCAGTAAATAGAGAAATCTATTTAACTGTAAACCACATAAATAAGGACGAAAAAAGCACTCGAGTGATTGATTATGAGGCATTTTTTGAAGGAGCTAAATATAATGAAAGATTAAGTAGAAAATAAAGCTCTTACCTTCTCTGCTTTGTGTTTCTGCCCAATAGTTGTGTCTGTTAGTCATTCCTCTTCTGCTCAGACAAGCTGCATATTTCTCTTCCTGCTTAGCTTTTTTTTTTTTTCTCTCTATGCATCCTCTTTATAAGACTGCAGTACTGCAATAGTCTTGGGTTTTTGCTCCAGGCAGAAATTCTTGAAACCCTAACCCTGAAATAAATCAACATAGACTATTGACAAAATAGATCTCTTAAGAAGGATCGTCTCAAGGAAAAAAAAAATCCTCAGGCAGTTAATGTTTCAAAACCTTTACAGCCATTAAAACCCACACCCTATAAACCACAGTCCAAAGTAAAAACATAACCCACATTATAGTGGTACTTATTTTACAGATTTGGAACAAATCTTTTAATCCAGTACACTGATATGTTTTACCACTAAACATTAGGATCTGAGGAGTTTTAAAAACAGTTTCATGTCTATTTTACCCGCTGAAGGGACAGCCTTTATGATTTAAGGTGTATTTAATGCAGGCACATGATGATAAATGTATATATATTTTGATGATAACAGATATACTTACAAGAAACAGAGAGGTAACTGCGACAGACTGAAAACAGAAGACCAGACAATGAGGGAACAGAAAGCAGGGATTTAAAATCAACAGGGATTAACTGAAACCAGGTGATTGCTGCTAACATACCAACAGGTGGAGATCATGACAGTGATCAATTTAGTTTTTGCTTTTCTAGCCATAGGGCAGGGGTACTCAAGTCCAGTCCTCAAGAGTTACCATCCTGTAACTTTTAGATGCATCTCTTCTCTAGCACACCTGAATCTAAAGCCTCAATCCCCTCATTTAGCTCAGCAGTGGTAACGAGCCACTCATTTGATTCAGGTGTGTTAAAAACGGTTGCATCAAAATGTTGCAGGATAGTAGCTCTTGAGGACTGAACTTGAGCACCCCTGACATAGGGCATCCAGTTCTGATCATGAGATTCCAGGTTTGTTCTTAACAACAGCATATTTGTTATTTTCTGTAGCTAGTTTCTGTTTAACTATATAACTTTCCTGGAAGGCATGGCCAGCTTGAGTGTAGCCTTTACCTTCATGCTCTCTATCTTATTTACTGTCCATGGAAGATGTAAAACTAAACCCTAACCTTCTGTAAATCATTGTTGCAATGAAAAGGTTTTTTTTTTTCCTGTCTCTAGGTAAAATATGAAGCTTTATTTTTCACCTAGAAAAGCCACATGAAGATTGTTTGTTATATAGTATTCATGTTTTGCATGAAAGTAAAGGGTAAATTTAAAATTTGCTAAAAATTGTTTATCATTTATTTTAAATTTCAAACTGCATTAAACAGAAAAGAAAAGGATTACAAAGTATTTTGGTTGAGCTCCTAACCAGTGGCAGTTCTTGACCAAATTTACCAGGATGGGCCCAATGTTTTTTAAGTTTTTAATCCCAGAACAAATGGTAAAACATATAGCAGGGCAATAGTTCTTTGTTTGAAATTTAGGTCAGCCAAAGAGCCATTGGTGTCATGATTCTGCACTTTTTGGTTGGGTTTAAGTTTGCTTTTTTGAGTTTTCAGTTACACTTTGATTCATGTTTTGTGTTTTCTATGTTTTGGTTTCTTTTCCATTTTGTAAGGTTTTCTGGTTGTATTTGAGTTATTATATTTTTCTTGTTTCCCTTCTGTTGCCCTATTGGGTCAGTCTCCTTCACCTCAATCCCTTCTGAATCGTCTGTCTACACCTGCTCCCAATCAGTTGATTACCCCAGTCTTACATATATACTCCTCCTCTGCAATAACTGTTTGCTGGTTCAATGTTGTTTCTTTGCTGCTAATGTGTGTTTTCTCTGACATCTCCAGAATTTTGGTTTTCTGTACTTTCTTTGTGGATCTTTGCTTCAGTTGCCTTCAGTTGAACATTGAAGAGAAACACTTTAGTTCATCAAAAGACATAAATTTGCTCAGATAAACATTTCAGACAACTGTATTCCGTTCACACCAGAAACAGGACGGGAGAACGATAAGAGCATAAGTTTTAACCATAGCACGAAAGAGGCTTTGTGAACTCATTATTTCTAATGACCTTCCCCTCACCCTTATCTAGAGTAGGGAGGGGAGGCACCTGCTTTATGTCCCCCTAAACAGCATAGCATAGTTAATGGTACAGAATTTCTCTATCATTACTTCTGTTCAAACATTTTATCACACAAAATAGGCCAAGGAAAAACCTTGATTCCACATGCCACCTTTAGCTTATTAAATCTAGAAGAAACTACCTCAGCTTCTGTCTCTGCATTTCAGTCCTATAGAAACCTCGACACTACCTGTCAGTTTATATGAAAACATATAAAAACTGTGACCTTATTGCAACAAACTGCAACAATTATTAGAATAAAAACAGTGAAAACAAAAGCTGAAACTGGTCCAAGAGAACTTTCATTTACGATTTCTGTTCCAACACATGTCATCATAAGAAATGCTTGATCATAACATTAGTAGGGACTGTAACAGGGGCCAGTTCTACGGTGGCCACTGGACCCTTTTGGTTCCTATCTAGAACCGCCCATGCTCCCAGCCCATTGTTAACTTAGATCCTCTGTTTTTTATGTAACCTGTATGTAATTCTGCTTTCTTCTCATTTCTGAATGAGGATGTGAAAAGAAGCTTACAAAAAGAGATGTTCTCCTACTTTCCAGGTCAGACAATGCAAACAATTGGACTTGATCCCTTTTTACCACTGTGTTACATTATTTTTTCAAAATATATTTAGACTATAACTAACTCTTTCTCTCTATAGAACTTTACTGTGTCGTTGTGTATTGAGTTGACTTGATTGCATACTCCTGTGTCTATCAGTGGTAATTTGGCCATTAATAACTAAACTGAAGGGAACTAATAGCTCACGTTAGTCAGAGATCAACCTTCCTGTCTTGTAATTCGCTATTGGTGATCCTTTTGTCGGGAAGCTTCCTTAAAAGGGCAAACACTTAATTGTTTCTGTTACTTGTTTCAAGGTCTGAATACTGGGGAAACAGCTTGGGGTTTGCCTCAGACTCGTGCCGCATACAGTATGTTATATGGAACATCTGGGCCCCTCCTATGTGTAGGGCTGACTTTGCTTTATTAAAGTGCTTTAAATAGTTCATTTACTTCATTGTCAGATCAACAGTCTACAAAAACAACTCCTCCTGCTACTGTTATCAAATGTGGAGGACAGGAAATTCCAGTCCTGCATCCAGTGCTCCGAGCACTACCTTTAATCTCTGAAATACCCAAGAATGTTGTTCATCAAGAATATCCAACTCAAATTCACCCAAACTTCATTGTTTGAATTTTTTTTTTCTTAGAATGAGTGTATGTATAACATCTCCAGCAGTCTTTTATGTAAGCTCTTGGAAATCATGTTCCGGATGAATCAGCATTTACACCATCACTTAGCTCTAGTCTATTCATCTTTCAGGCAAAAATTGCTGTGCTACTTCACAATGCAGGAGTGTCCCTACAAGAGGAAGTGGTTCTGGGGTTTTTCTACTCAAGTCTAATTTTAGGATGAGAGGACTTGTGAATTTACTGCAAAATAAAAAAATACAAATTAAATAATATAAAAAAATGTATGTAGAGAAAAATATATCTGGTGATAACGATCTTTTTTTTCATTACTAAATGCCCCAGATATACCCCAGGTATATCTTCTTTTTTTTTTTGGTGCCTTGACTATCAATTAATATTTGAGAACATTACCAAATAATCCTCACTTAGCTAACAGAGCAAAATCCGACACATTTTCTTAAGCATCAAAATCTAAGACAGCAAAAACAAATAATAAAATCCAATTAAAGTTTTCATAAAAACTCCTCCTCGTTGTCTGATTGAACTGTAATTCCTTACATTACTTTATCCAAATGTATTATATACATATATTACTTATATAATCCAACTGAAAAGTAATATTAAAATAGATATTTTATCAAGCTTATTTTATGTAGTGTTTCTGAAAAGTTGGTTTAAACAGAAATGAGGTAACGGAAATAAGGTTATCAAAGAAACCCTTAAAGTAAAAATGAAATACTCAAAATGGTAATCTTATTGTCAATATTTTTAAATACACATAGAGATAGGTCAGGATTGTTGACTGATAAATGGACAAGGGGAAGGTAGACAAAGTCAGGGGCTTTAAAAAGACAGCAAGAAGACAAATGTTCATACAAAGCAATCAGTCGGGTTGGACAACAAGTATGAAAAGCCATTATCAGACAGCAGGCAACAGGAAGTGCATATTTCACCCCAGTCGAACTAGAGATCTTAATGCACAGAGAAATAGCACTACAGCAACAAAGGAGGGGAAGATGGCAAAGGAAAAGATCGCTGCTCAAGTTAATGTGTAGGTTAATATGAAGTGAACTATGGAAGACAGTTTTTACATTTATTAAAAGCACTCCTCTCTGTTGCACCATTTGTAGATCACTAAAATAAGATTCTTCCTGATCAAAGTCACACTCCTAGACCTAACTGTAATAATATATTTTCCAAATTACATTTTTGTAGCAGAAACTGAATTTTATAAAGTAAACAAATCAACAAAATCATACTAGTAAGAATTAAGTTTTATATATTTAGAAACGTTTACACATTTTAATTGGCTGTTCTGACATTTTTCAGCTTGACTGAAAATGTATTTATGATATCTGAAAAACATTTTTTCATAGTTACAAATTCTGACCGGTAATATTAGGAATATGGAGATCTGAAATTAAGGGACAGGGACAGGGTGCCACCATTTTTAATCCATGACAGAAATGCACCATCAGAAATATTTTAATTCTGCCATATTTCTTTTATTATCATTAAAATTATTATTATTCATATATTTGTTTTCTGATGATGCAGTCCGCTAGCTTATCTCTTTTTGTTTTATTTTGAGGTTTTTATGCCACCAGCGGCTTGTTTTTTATACAGTAGGCTGACAGGAAAGAGGGTATGAGAGAGGGAGAGAGACATGCGGTAAAGGACCACAAGTCAGATTTGAACCCAGGTCGGCCTGTCATGATCTGGCCTGTTTGCTCTCCCTTAATTA